TTTGGGGGTGGAATGTGGGGGTGGGGGTGTAGTGGGGGTAGGGGATGGAATGTGGGGGTGGGGGGGATTGGGGGGGGGGGGGGGAAGGGGGGGGGGGGGGGGTGACGGAAGGACGAACGCAGGTGGGGGAGCAGTATGACATCAGGAGCACAGGCACAGCCTCTTGCTGTGGCCTCTCACGTGACGACATTAGCAGTATCTGCCTGAGCGCGGCCTCCATTTTGGCGTTTTGGATCATCGTTCCATCATCGAAAATAACTCGGAGTAAATCTCAAAGGAGGTGGTGACACCCAGACAAGATGGATGTGAGGAAACTGGGACCTGGCAGTAGGCCGAGATACTGTGTCAATGCAAGTTGCTTCTGTCTGTCCTTAACATGGACCCAGCGCAGACAACCCCTGCCCTGTCCACAGAGCAGAGAGAGAGTGAGAGAGAGAGACCGTGTGCGAGTGTGAAGCAGTGAATAATTAGTCAAACTCTTGTAGTCTGGAGCCCTTAGGCCGGAGGATGTTGTGAAGGTTCACTTGAAAGCACTAAATTCATCTCACTGTCAGAAAACAGGTGTCACATGTTGATGGGCCGGACAGAGGAATTGAGTTAAGGGATACTCATCAGAACTCATCCATAATTTACAGCGACTGTTGCTTCTGGGCCCTTTTGCTCCTCTGAAGCTGTCAGATCCATTAATCTCCACGTATCATCGAGGTTTACGGCACAGAAACAGGCCCTTCGGCCCATTGAGTCTGTGCCAGTCAAAAACAACCACCTAACTATTCTAATCCCTTTTCCCAGCACGTGACCCATAGCCTTGTGTGACTTGGCATTGCAACTGCGCATCTAAATACTTCTTCAATGTGCTGACGGTTTCTGCCTCTCCCACCCCCACAGGCAGTGAGTCCCACATTCCCACCACCCTCTGGGTGAAACAGGGTTTCCTCACATCCCCCCTGTACCTCCTGCCCCTTCCCTTAAATCTATGCCCCTGGTCATTGATCCCACCACCACCTGTCTTTGCCCCTCATCACTTTATTCCTCTCAATCATGTCCCCCCTCAATGTCTGAGGAAAACAACTCCCAGTCTGTCAAAGACAACACAGTGTGGAGCTGGAGGGACACAGCAGGCCAAGCAGCATCAGAGGAGCAGGAAAGCTGACGTTTCTGAAGAAAACATTAACTTTCCTGCTCCTCTGATGCTGCCTGGCCTGCTGTGTTTCTCCAGCTGCACACTGTGTTCTCTCAGACTCCAGCATCGGCCGTTCCTACTATCCCTAAGAGTGTCTGATCTCCCATCAGAACTGAAACCCTCCAGTCCAGGTGCCATCCTGGTAAATCTCCCTCTGCCCCCCTCTGCGGGGCTATTGAACCCCTCCTAACGATTTGGATTGCCGAACCGCACACCATGCTGTAGCCGGGTGGGGGGTGGGGATTCCTGAAACGCGCAGATATCTGTGGCTCTAGTTCCGGAGCACAGTTGTTGGGAGCGAGGGCAATTGTACCCCGAGCGAGCGGTAAGGAGAGAGTCTCACCTCGACATGTTCATCTCCGTCTGGGGTCTCCGAGCCCTCTCCAGGCCGAGTTTGGTGAAGATTCCCACCAGCACCATGACGGCGACCACGCCGCAGATGATGTAGACGATCATGTTGGTTTTGTCCTTGGCCGGGCCTTCGACGGCGTCGTCCACTTTGATGGGCGGCTTGCCGGTGTTTACCCAGTTGGGCGTGTCGTAGTTGGTGCAGGTGCTCTGGTCCAGCCGGTCGTGGGCAAATTCACAGCAGAAGCGGTAGTGGCATGTCCCACAGCAGTACAGGTAGGTGTCGGTGTTGCAGCTAAATGGAGGATCCCACTGGCCCATCACGTCGTAGTAACCGCGGCACCGGTCGGAGGCCGGGGCCCGCTCCGTCGGAGCTGGGCCGGGCTCCCCGGGGGCTCCCGCTCTGGTCCTGTTGTCTGTCGGTGCGGCGGCCCCTTCTGCCTGCTCCACGTCGCCGCTGTGCGCCCGAGCCCAGATCAGCACCTGCCCCGTCAGCAGGTAGCCCCAGAGTCCACCCGTCAGGTAGGGGGGACCCATCGTGGCCGGCGGGCCGACAGGGCGGAGGTCAAAGTGGCGTCTCGGTCCTCCGGGAAGGTCGGAGGTCAACGTGCTCGGTCAGCGGCTGAGGGCGGAGGTGACATGCGGGTCAGAGAAACGGTGCCAGTGTCTAAGGCAGCCTCTGGAAGCCCGGATACCCTCCTCCAGGTTTTCACATCGCCATATTTGTGTGAGAGAGAGAGAGAGAGATGGAGGAATGTTGGACAACTGTTACTGGTCCACGTTCGCCAATAATGTGAGCTGGAGGCAGCGACGGTAAATCACATCATTGTGTAAGCCCTGTGGGAATCAGCACAGAGAGAGAGAGAGAGAGAGAGAAGCACATCAGTACTCACCGTCATTCTCTACAAATGCACAGCCACTCACACAGCATTACTCACTGCCTAACAGGCCCTGGACATTTGCCACCCAACCTGCATTTCACTGAAACCTAGTCCTGCTGGTTTTTCTGTCCAAACACCCTTTTTCACTTTCACCTCCTCCTAGTTCCACCCTCTGTCCCAACATGCTGTTAAAGTGGGGGAGGCCTGCTACAAATACTCACTCTGATAGTGACTCCAGTACCAGTCTGTGTGGTTTTATCTTCATCGTGAGGGAGGAGATGCAAACTGTGCAGGGAATGTTATAGACCCCCCCCTCCACCTCTCACACCCACCACCTTAGCCTGGGTTATTTTGACCCTACAATTCACACACCTGTGGCCATGCAAAGGCCATTTAGCCCAGCTGGTGAAGACCCACTGCGTACTAGCCCCATGCCAACCGTCCTCGCACCAGCCCTATCCACACACTCCCCCCTCGTGTGTTTACCCAGCCTTCCCTCTCAATAACTCCCTGCCGACTGCCCCAATTACTCCACACAGCAGCAGCATTGCCCACTCTCTGGGCAAACCATTACCCCCTCTTGAGTTTCTGAATGGAGTTATGGGTGGCTGTCTTATATTTCTGGCCGCGACGAAGTCAAGGAGCAGCTCCTCACTGGGTGTAAATAGCACAGTGCGAGAACAGCGAAACACACAGAGGGCCTGACTGTGCAAACGACAGATGCATGTGTAGAGAGGCACATGCAATAGACTGACCAGCTTTAGGCAGTAGAATTCATGGAAGACTTTCCGTAATGCGACTGTAAGGTTAGAGCGTGGTCTGTCTCTGAATGTCACAAATCGTAGCTTACAGCCTCAGTATGTATTATACAGTGTTACATTGTTTTTCCTTGAGCAGTCTACATTGAACCCAAACTCCTGAGCTGGCCAGGAAACCATACAACTGAAGTTGTTATGGTCTCAAGATTTAGCTCCCACCGCCAATCCCCATACTGTGGACTGTGAGGAGGCTGGAAATGGATTTCCAAAGTACACAGACAGAGTACTGGGAGCATGGACATTTAGTGTGTAGAGGGGTGGAATGAAATATTGATCCCGCAAGACTGAAGCATGACGGTGCTACGTAAAGGCTGGAATGGTCAGTGGAGTGCAGAAGCATTGGGACCCATCTGGGGGTGGGGGTGGGGATGGGGTTGGGTGGGGGAGAGACGTGCAGAAGGTGGAAAAGCGAGTTCATGGGGAATGGTTCAAAAGACAAACACGATCCTGAGCTTTATCGGGAGACTTTGCAGATACAAGGAGATTATGGTAAGGCTTCGCTTGGGACTACTGTGAGATTGTTCAGGCCTGTGTGTGTTAGCATTAAGGTTAGATGTTACAGGCTGTATTGTTCCTCTGGCCATGCGTCTCCAGGCAGCTCCAGGAGAGTGAACAAACACAGTCTGACCTTCAGCCTGAAGGAGCACTAGGGGTCAGGTGACCAGAGGCTTGGCCAAGGTCGAAGGTTCCCACAGCTCGAGCATGTCAAGGGGCAGCAGGACTTCACTTTCATTTGAATCATCATCATCAAATCCCTTGCAGTGTGGGAGCAGGCCATTCGGTCCACCAAGTCTACACCAAACCGTCCGCTCCCCCCCACGCACCCTCCGCAAATCATCCCACCCCACCCTATCCCTGTATTTCCTATGGCTAACCCACCTAGCCCACACACCCCTGGACACTACTATGGGGCAATTTCCCATGGTCAATCCACCCTAACCTGCACATCTTTGGATTGTGGGAAGAAGACCCATGCAGACACGGGGAGAATGTGCAAATTCCACACAGACAGTCACCTGAAGCTGGAAACGAACCCAGGTCCCTGGTGCTGTGAGGCAGCAGTGCTAACCACTGAGCCACCGTGCTGCCCTGGAGTCTGGGGTGCAGTTTGGGAGAGTGCTGTGCTGTTTTAGTGGTAATAGTGAGCACTTCCACAACAACTGAGCAGGAACTAGGGGGGTCGGTGGTCTGGGCATTGGAGGTTGGATGAGGAAGGACAGAGAGAGAGAGAGAAACAGACAGAGAGAGGTGGAGAGATAGAGACAGAGGGTAAGACAGACAGAGAGACAGAGAGGAACAGACAGAATGAGATGGAGAGATACTGAAATAATTCCACAGAGGCCAGTATTTCATCATCAATTCTGGTTGTGACGGCCCTTTAGTTTCCCCCATCACCACCAGCTGTTTCAGTTTTGCCAGGACCGGGTCTCTCTGCTTCCAAAGTCTGATATTGTCAGCTGTGACTGGGAGTGTGTTCCAGAAAATTTAAAACCATTACAGACTCTTCCCGTGGCGATAACAGTGGGGGTGTATCTGCCAGCGGGAGGTAGCTCAATGTATCCGCATTTACTACTTGGTCTCCCGGATGATGTTCCAACTTGTAATTATACATGCTTAGTATTAGAGCCCACTGCCCAATTCAGCCTGAAGCTATGGGCCTTGTCCTCTTTAATTAGACCCAGCATGGGTTTGTGGTCCGCTAATATTACAAATTTACATCCGTGAAGGTATCAGTGGAGCTTTCTGACTCCATATAAGATCGCCAAACCCTTCCTTCTCTATCTGGGCCTATTTACGCTCTGCACTAACCAATATCCTGGATGTGCACGCTATTGGGCATTCTGCCTCTACGTTTACTCGTGAGACAATTAACATTGTGTGGGCCTCGCAGAATTGTGGGATTGCTCCCTGGTCAACATGCAAGATGGCCTTGGCCACTTTGATAGTCTCCGGACCTTCCTGGAAAAACCTCCAGGTCTTTAATTAGGATGTCGCTCAGGCAGCCATTTTCTAATTGAACAATGTTGAGCCAATCAGGGTGAATCTTTCTCAACCAATCAAGCTTGGGCCCGAGCCTTTTACTACAATCAGTGGTAACTGAGCCAGATGCTTCTCATAAGAGACCGGAACTGGAGATGTACCATTAATCTGTAAACGTTCCCCGGTTTAAGTTCTCAGTCTGGCTAACGGTTGGAGTCCAGAGTGAATTTTGTTAAAGCCTGGTTTTGCCATCACAGAAACAGCCACGCCCACTATCAACCTCCATTAGAACCAGGTGACCATTTAACCAGACGTTTCTTTTGATTGGTTCTGATTTGGATGTTGCTAAGCCAATTAATTGTTCTAAACCAGATGTAGGTGAGCTTTCCAGGGTGTGCATTCTCCTGGATACTGGCCTATGAGTTCTCTTACTCCATTCAGGCCTAGTGGATCTCTTTAACCATCTCAAGGCCACAAACCAGCAGCAACTACAATGGCTCACCGGCCCGGATCCTGGAGAAATTGTTAACCATTTGGTCGAGGCTTGGCTTCGTTTTGGGGTTTTGCTGTGGGCTGACCCAGAGTCCCTCTGTTCAAGATATGTCCTGTGTGAGGCTGTGCAACTGCCTTTACTAAAGTGGTGACCCTCAAACTCAGTCAGACTGGCAACGGTATGCATTTCCATCGGAATACCCTGTAACTCATGCTGCACTTGCCACATTTTCCAATGATAAAGTCCAGTTGTGGTGCCTGTTTGAAGTCCAGTTGGGCTTCAACTAGTGGGTGCTTTTGCATGGTCACATCATTAATCCCACATCCCAAACAATCTCTTAGTATCTTATTAAGGGTTAAACCAAAATCACATGCCTCTGCCAATCATCTCAACCTTGTCAAAAAATCCCGATACAATTCCCCTGGTTCTTGAACTGCCAAGTAAAAGCATCTGAGATTTAGAGGAAGCTTGGCTCATTATATTCTTAACTAAGTTCATCTAAAACCTTGAAAGGTTTTAGTTTCTGGTGTCTCAGGTAAAGTTAGGCTCCTGATAACCGAAAAAGCTGTGGGTCCACAAGCTGTCAGGAGAATTACTCGTTGCTGTTCATCTGCCCCAATGTCATTTGCCCGGGAAAAAAATAACACGTTCTTTCCAAATACTGGGCCCAGCCTTCGATGGCTGGATGGAGCAAGTCAAGCTTCCCAGATAACGGCATGATGCCAGAAATGTTTACCCCAACTCAAAGACAGCTGCTATGAGCGAATTTCTTCAGCGTGATTTACTCTTGTCAGTCCATACAGGCTGGTATCCAGTCACCCTTTATTTACACGTGGCAAGTCTTTGACACTAATCCAGTTCCCTCAGAGCCAGCTCTCAGAGTGTCTGACTCTCCTGTTTATATCTGTCAGCCAGGGCTCCCTGATTGGACCAGGTTAACAACCCCAATCAGGGAACTCCTATTCTATGAGGTCCACATTCACACACACTCACACACACATACTCACTCACACTTACACACACTCACACTAACATACACACACACACAAACACACTTATGCACACAGACACACACAGACACACATACACACTCACACTAACACACACAGACACACACACACACAGCCACACACACAGACACACTCTCACACTCACACACACGTACACACAAGCACTTACACACACACAGACACAGACACACACACACATGTTTACACACACACATGTTCACATGCTCGCACACACAGACACAGACACTCACGCACAAACACATACACACACTCACACAGACACACACTAACACACGCACTCACAGACACACTTACACAACAGACACACACACAATCACACTTACGCACACACACTCGCACTCACACACACACACATATGCACACCCACTCGCAGACACACACACGGACACACACACTCACACACACATACAATCACAGACACACAAACACAGACATGCACACACACACACAGGCACAGACACATGTTCACACACACACTCACACAGACACAGACCCTCAGATACACACACACACACTCACTCATACACACACATGCACACACACTCATATACACACAGATACGCACTCACACACACACAAACACATACACAGACATACTCACACACACACAGATGTACGCACGCATGCCTCAAACACACACATGCAGACACACACACTCTCACATACACACACGCACACACACAGACATGCACACACTCGCTCGCAAACACTCACAAGCACACACACACTCACATGCATGTATGCTCTCACACACACACAGACACACACGCACGAGCGCACACAAACACACACACACACGCGCGCGCACATACACAGAGAAAGATTGAGAGAAAGAGGGTGACAGAGGGAGAATTAGAGAAATTGAGACAGTGACAGAGAAAGAGCCAGAGAGAGAGAGAGAGACAGAGACAGGGAGAGGGAGAGAGAGAGAGGGCGCTATGGCAATTTCACAAGGGGTTAACTACAGAAGTATATTTTTTAAAAAATGAATCATTCTTTTTCACAGAATGTGAATCTTAAAGAATTGATGAGAAGTGAAGGATATTTGTTTCTGTTGGATCTCCAGCAGAGATCGGGAGGAGATGCAGACCAGTGTGTCTGTAACAGTCACTGAGTGAAGGTGATGGGACAAAGCCAATGGGGAGAGAATGAAAACAGGCTAAAGTTTAGCGGCAGATTAAAGCAGTCTTTATGGCTGATTAGCCCCCACGCCCCCGAGGACAGACCCAGCTGCTGAAAAGGGCAAGTGAAAACTAAACAATTAAAGAAAATGAATCGTGGTTCCTTTAATCCCCACTCACTGCTGTCACTTTGTACCAATCCTCTCCTGCTCCAATTACTCAACCAAATGGCACTTAATTGAAAAGTGACCCAGTTTCCGTGGCCTGTAGCTGCCAAGGGAGCTGGGCTCCCCAAGAGGCAGTACTCAGGCATACGGTGGCATTTACACAGGCGATGAAGGGTCAGGCATTCCTATTTACTGGGAAGAGTTGCCAACTGCCTCACCCAGTCGAACGGCCAATATTTTTGCTCCTCCACCACATTCATTTTCAATTCTTTTACAGCCAAGAAATTAAAGGTTACAAAGAAATTGAACACACACATACACACATACACACTCATACACACACACACATGTACACACACACACACTCTCTCACACACATACACACACACACATACACACACGCACTCACACACACACACGTACGTGCACACACACACACACATACACACACAGACAGACAGACACATACACACACACACACACTCACACACACAGACACACACACACACACAGACACGCACACACACACACACACAGACACACACACTCACATACACACACACACACACGGACACACACACACACTCACACACAGATACACACACACACAGACACACACTCACACAGACACACACACACAGACACACACAGACACACACACACACTCACACACACTCACACACACACAGAGACACACA